ATAGATTGAGGTCAGACAGAGAACTGCGTCTTAGTTTGTCGCATTTTCAGCATGTGTTGATCCATCTGGAGTTGTGGAGGCTGTATAATCAGCACAAGTCACAGAAGCATGTGCCAAGGTTGTGGGAGCAGGAAATGTGCAATGTGCACCATGCTTTTGCATAGTCAAATAACAACTCAGTCGAATAAACATTTTTGGTCCACTAAACATCACGGTTACCTCACATAAACTGAGAGGAGCTCTTATGTGGAAGAAACAGCCTTGGAGCCCTAAATCTTCATGATATTTTTTTGCACTAAATCAATATGAAAATAAAAAGGCATCTAATTAATACTTATAATCATCCTTAAAAATATCTCTTAAAGGGATACTTCACCTCAAAATTAAAAATCGGTCATTATTTACTCACCCTGATGTCGTTCCAAACCTGTATGACTGGCATAGTTTAGTGGAACATAAAAATATATTTTGAAAAATGTCTCACTGTTTGTGTGTGTATTTCCTTTGTGTTCCACAAAAAAAAAAGGGGGTCATACTGGTTTTTAACAACATGAGGGTGGGTATATGACAGTATTTTCATTTTTGGGTGAACTATACCTTTAAGATTTAAAGGGTTATGACCCAAAAATGTAAATTATTTTATCATTTACTCACCCTCATGTCCTTCCAAACCAGTAAGACGTTAGTTTATCTTCAAAACACAACTGAATATATTTTTAATAAAATCTGAGCGATTTCTGTCCCTCCATTGATAGCTACGCAACTACCAATTTGATGCTTCAAAAAGTTCATAAAGAGATCGTAAAATCCATATGAATTGAGTGGTTTAGTCCAAATTTTCTGAAGAGACACAATCGCTTTGATGAACAGATTGAATTTAGGCTTTTATTCACATATAAAAATTAATTAATGGACACATCAGTTATGATAAACGGAAGCTCAAGCATGTTTGCTTGATGTGCGAGAACCAATGAGGTTCATTCGCATGTCTTCGAGACAATATGAAGTGTATTAATGAATAAAACTAAAAGGGATCTTTAAAAAAAAAATAGTCTAGGGCCCTGGTCAGCGTTTATTGTGATATCTTGTCAATTACTTACAATGCAATTTTAATTTGGTGTTGATTGGCATGCTGTGTTTTATTGTTAAAATACCCTAAAAAATCAATTCCAGTGGGAAATAATGAAAATATGCCCAGTAGGAAATATGCCCCTTAAAAACCGTTTTAGGAGTTAGAGATTGTGGGAAAGTGCTCTTAATTTGGATGGACACCCAAAATAAATAAACTGCTCACTTACCTCAGCTAGATGTCCAGCGTTTCAGCTGAGGCCATGTGCAGAGGCTCTTCCACAGTTATTGGGCCTACAGAGTGGAAGCAAACACCGCAATGCAACTATGAGGTCAAATCTCTTGGTCAAATTGACCATTTACGGTTTTCACTCAATACCTTTGAGGCAGGCAGTCCCACATTGATTCCACAAACACAAAGGCACCTCGGCCAAGCTGAAGAAATACTGCAGTTGCGAGTTATTTCGTCAATTACAACTTGAAATGCATCACAAACGAGCACAGAGCGGCTTCCAACTTCCAAGGGAGAAAGAAAAATTAATTAAACGCGACTGTACTTCGTGCTCACACTTGTCATCTTGTATCTCGGGCTTTTCAGCACCCTCGCTGCACACATAGCGAGAAGCCTGTTCCAATTAACAAAGAAGTTGTCAGGCCTTTGATTCGCGCTTGGTTTCTGCGCGTGGTACCCGCCCGCGAAACAACAGGCTGTCGGGAAAACCTGCGCGCACCATTGCCTCACAGGCGAAAACCTGTGCTTATCTCCTCACATGTTTCACCATGTACAGACACGTCCGGGAATATTAATCTTACATAAATACGATGAAATAACCGAGGTCATTTGTCAGAGTAAGAAACTGTCAGTGACAAATTGTTTTACCTCTTTAAAGACTGGTGTTAAATTTAATCGTGGAAATGTATTGCAATAAGCGAATGATCAAGAATGTCTTGATTATTATTATTATTAATTTTTTTATTAACAAGCATAAGTCAAAAGCTCTTCTACCGTTACAGAATAATTTCTTTAAATCTGCCAGTGTGCAATATTCGCATTTAAGAAAGAGAGCCTATGCACAACGTCTGGCACGTGACAAGGATGCAGAAATGGAAGCTGAAGTCCTATTTTGAAATAATGATGGTTTGCTGTATTTATCTCGTTTGCGAATATCACGATAAAAAATGTAATAAATACACGGACATGAAATATTAAGTTATTTGAATTTTTTTGTAAATCTTAATTCCGCTACGAAAGAATAGTCCATATCCAGTCTCTCGCCTTTTTTCCTAGGTTTCATTATCAATTATTCAATTGGATATTAAAATGAATTTTTCTACGACCAGTTTAAAGAAGTCATAATCGTTTTGAGTCTTTGCTTTGAAAAGAAAATTAAGATCTCGGAGAATTAAGACGCATGAAAGTAGGCCCAGTCAGTTACCAACGACAACAATGACATATCCAGTTTAGCGGTCATTCGACAATTTATTTTGTTTACTGTGATCAAGTATTCCAGGGAACCGTGTCATTTGTAACTAAATGTATCAGTAGGCCAAACATATTAAAAGGATATAAGTGCATAAATGTGCACAGAGAGAAATATGATTTGATCTTGCATACATTAGACTTAGGCCTGGGACTATATAAATGCCAAACTAATTCACTAAATATTGAGTAGGCCTATTTTGCCTTGTTTGTAAAAAAGCATCTGCAAACTCTAAGCTGGGAAAATTGTCAGCACATGCCCTCTACTGGTTAAGAATTAAACTACGATTGGGGTATGGGCCTATTATTGTATGTCCAGCTGATGTTTTTGAGATGGGGGTGTATATGCTATAGAAATATATGGCATTTTCTGTTTTACAGTTACATACAAAGTAAAATGGTTTCACTTGTCATCTGTACACTTCCACTACTGCAAAACAAAAATTTCTACTAATCTTTTTCTACCAATCATACAACTTATAATTGTGCCACAATAAATATTTAAGGGAAAATTGACTGTGCAATAAAAATGTTAACAAATTAAAAGAAAATACTGGTGATATCAGACATTTTAATAACAAAAATAAAATAACAGACGTAAAAACAAAAGCCTTGGTGGTGTGAAAAACATGACACAAACTGGCAGCCAAACTGTTGAGGTGTAAGTAACAAGGCCAGTGCCATATGAAGCAAGTCACAAACAAGGTCAAACAATGTCAGATTAGCAGCAGTAGTCAGTCACCACGCTCAGAGACCAGAAGGATGATTCAAAGTTTGAGAAAGGGAAAAATGATGTGATGCGGAAATGCAGGGCGAAGACTTTGTATAATGTGCTTTAACAGAGATAAAAACAAAGAAGGTAAAAGTACCTTCCTACCCTGGCAGAATGTCTATTGCTGCACTGGAATCACTGACAAAGCCAATAGCACAACAGTTTGTGACTTATATTATTGTATTGACTAGTATTATTGTAATGCATGGTCTCAATAAGCTATGTTGACACTGAAACACTAATATTGACAAGTATTTGAACACATTAGATTATTTTTTTGCCTCTGGCTGGTTTACTAGGCCATAGAAGGTATAAGTGAGAGACAGAGAGAGAGAAAGAGAGAGAGAGAGAGAGAGAGAGAGAGAGAGAGAGAGAGAGAGAGAGAGAGAGAGAGAGAGAGAGAGAGAGAGAGAGAGAGAGAGAGAGAGTGAGCATGGGGGTGAGTTTCCAGCCATTGCTGCCAGGCATGCTTTAGGTCCGTCGCGGTCCCTGTCTGTCTCTGGTCTGGTTGGAGAATTGATTCCACTCTGGGAGCTGGGCTGCCAACGGATCCCTGCATCTCTGCCTGTCTGGTCAGTGACCTCACTCTTTAAAGCTGCCAGCCACTTCATTATGATGTCCAGTTTACACACCAGACAATCCTAAATGCCCTTAAAGGATTCTGCACAACAGCAACCTTTTGTCACGAGCAATATTGATTTTTGCTTGTATGTAACAATGATAATATATCACTGTAAAACATTATCTGATCAATAAGTTATGACAACATATGTTTTTACATTGTTTTAACTCATCAAAATAAGAATTTTCACAATTCTCAAGCATTTTTTTAAGTCAGTTCAAATTACTTAAACATCCAAGTTGATTGCACTTAAAAATGTAAGGCAGAAACTTTTTTTACAATGTAATGCACTCACACAAGATGAATGAAAACATGCTCACGTGCCTTGATACATTCTGTACGGTGCAAAGCAATATTTACTAAACACATTCCTGATATGCCAAATTAACAAAAACCCATTGGTAATACATAAAACATTCACAAGATAATAAAATATCACATTTTAAAAATGTCACATACAGTACAATCAAGATTAAAACCTGAAAACAGAGCCATATTATATAGTAAAAGACCACAATGAGGTATACTTTATGCCCTAGACAGTTATTATAATTATCATAATCATCATTTTTTTTAAATTTTCTTCAGGTGAGGTGAGGACTTTGGATCACAATTTAATGCAATCTGCAAATGCCAAAACTGCCCCAAAGGCTGGGTTGTGCAAAATTCAGAATATATTTTCTCTGTATCAACTGCAGAATTATAATTCAAATGAGAATGTAAGAAAAAAAAAAAAAAAAAATCAGCATTAAAAAAATCAAGGAAATAGCATATAACTCATTTTAAGTAGAAGACAGAAATTTGTCAAGACAAACTTTGAATGTTGGCTTGTTAAAGATTTTTTAAAGTTTTGAAGATGGTTTGAAGGTTAATAGGCCTGATTGGATGGATGGATGGATGGATCAGGATGGATGGATGGATGGAGTTTAACAACTTAAGCCGAAGAGTGAATTACTACAACTAAACAGTGGAGGGAGCCAAGACACCACAAAAAAATAAAAAAATACAGCACATTTACAACATAGGTCTATAAAAGGTGCATGACAAGCATACATGCACATATCAAACACCCCATGCCTCCTATATGAAATCCTTCCAGTCCCAACAATTACAATTTAAGAAAAGAAAACAAATAGAAATGTTTCCCCAACGTGCTGTCCATAAAACCAACAAAGGCTTCACCCGTTTACAGTGCTACTTGTGTTTCAGTGTGAATTCAGCTTAAAAACTGGAGCGGGGGGCCTGGATCTCCCGTTCCACACTTGGCATGCTGGGTGTATCCCGACTGACCAGCCTGTGGCGGAAGTGTCCGCTCAGCAGAATGTAGATGAAGGGGTTTATGCTGCTGGCGGCGTAGCTCAGGCACACGGACATGTAGTAGCAGGTGTGGTACACTAAAGAGGGCCGAGGTACGCTCAGGTTAACCAGCTGCAAGATGTGGTACGGCCCAACACTGACCAGGAACATCGCTACCAGAACCAGGACCATTTTAGTGAGGCGGACCACACGCTCCCGAGGCAGGCTGGTGTTATACCTGAGAGAAAGCGGAGAATGCAGGTTTGGGTCGTACAGTATTTAGCCAAACCCTAAATCCGGGTTTATGGTGGTTACATGTTCTAATCTAAAATCCTAAACATGGTAATTACAGTTAAAAGAATAGTCCACTGAAAAAAAAAAATTCGGTCATTATTTACTCACATCCATGTCATACCAAACCTGTATGACTTTCATTCCCCATTGACTTCAATTGTATGAACAAAAATCTGTTTGGTTATCAACATTCTTCAAATTCACTTCTTTGTGTTCAGCAGAAAAAAAGAAATGCATACAGATATGGAATGACATGAGGGTGTTTATATGCTGACAGAATTTTCAATTTTCGGTGGACTATCCCTTTAATATGTAAATTAACAATGCACAGAAAAAGGAATTTGACAGTTTCTGCTATTAAATCCACCAAAAAAATGTCCGCATTCATGTCCACTCTGAAGTGCATTATTGTTTTTTATAAAAAAGAAAAGAAAACGTAGGCTATTGAAAGATATTTTTAATAGAAAATTCTTACAGTAGCCTATAAATAATGGTTTAGCCATAAAATCAGTATGTGCTGTCAATCTAAAATGAAAACATTTCCATGAGCAGGATCATTCTCAAAGGGGACAACCTGCTACATCTGACAACATCACACAATAAAAATGAATTCATATTCACTTTGCAGAAGATATTCTCTTTACGGATGGCGAATTAAATATTAATTAATGAACCAGTGTAGACCTTGTAAGAACAGTAAAGCCACTGAAAGGCTTCAAAAGCAATTACATTTGTAGCTTTGACAGTTTGATATCACACACTGGCTGTAATGAATTTAAATTCACCTGTGAGCCTTTTTGTTCTTGCGATACATTCTCCAGGAGTAGCAGAGAATCAGTATGTAGCAGATGAGAATCAGAGGTAATGGCAGGAAGAAGGAAGTCACAGTCTGGTAGAGTGTGTACCTGTAGATATACGAGGACACATGATGTCAGTCGTGTGAGAAAAGCTTTAAAGCCTTTATATCCCCTCTCTTAGTTTAATTAAACAAGAAGGATGGATTCCTCTGAGCATCAGCCTTCTGTAAAGGCAATTTTCTGGTGAAGTGGAAAATATACTGACTGAAAAGACAGAAAAGGTTTTATGTTGCTTTTGAGTGTCTGAACCTATGTGCCACTAAGTTGAATGACAGCTTTCAACAGCTTTCACAGCAGATAACAGAAAAACAACAACAATAAAAAACATGCTATTCTGGAAAAAAATGGCTTTGTAGCAAAGTTCTCAAACAGAATGCTGAAAATGGGACACACTCGAAAACCCATATTTATTGGTGCATTTGTCCCTTAGCACTTTTCAATAGAAGATTTTATAACAATAGAGTGACAAAATAACAAAATTCAGAGGTCAAAGGTTATGAGAGAGGGAATAATCAGACCTGTGCAGAAGGCACAATGTAAGGCAGAAACTTTTTTTTACAGTGTAATGCACTCACACAAGATGAATGAAAACATGCTCACGTGCCTTGATACATTCTGTACGGTGCAAAGCAATATTTACTAAACACATTCCTGATATGCCAAATTAACAAAAACCCATTGGTAATACAATAAAACATTCACAAGATAATAAAATATCACATTTTAAAAATGTCACATAGAGTACAATCAAGATTAAAACCTGAAAACAGAGCCATATTATATAGTAAAAGACCACAATGAGGTATACTTTATGCCCTAAACAGTCATTATAATTATCATAATCATCGTTTTTTTAATTTTCTTCAGGTGAGGTGAGGACTTTGGACCACAATTTAATGCAATCTGCAAATGCCAAAACTGCCCCAAAGGCTGGGTTGTGCAAAATTCAGAATATATTTTCTCTGTATCAACTGCAGAATTACAATTCAAATGAGAATGTAAGGAAATTTAAAAAGAAATAAAAAAAATATTTTAAAAAATCAGCATTAAAAAAAATCAAGGAAATAGCATTTAACTCATTTTAAGTAGAAGAGAGAAATTTGTCAAGACAAACTTTGAATGTTGGCTTGTTAAAGATTTTTTCAAGTTTTGAAGATGGTTTGAAGGTTAATAGGCCTGATTGGATGGATGGATGGATGGAGTTTAACAACTTAAGCCAAAGAGTGAATTACTACAACTAAACAGTGGAGGGAGCCAAGACACCACAAAAAATAATAAATAACAGCACATGTGCAGAAGGCTATACACAAGTACATTTACCAGAGCAACTCTTTATGAGAGACCAGGTCAAGGGAACAGCTCTCCAGCCCGTCTCTGAAGCGGATCACTTTGGCATGAACCCAGGCTGGCAGAACCATGATGAAGGAAGCCGCCCACACAAACAAGTTAATACGGATCGTCCTGGATCTGGTCCTGAGACTCAACAGGCGAAAAGGATGAACAAGGGCCAGGTATCTGGAGCACATAAATGAATAAACAATAAAGATTTTACCCCTCTTATGAGTCATTTTATCATTCAATTAGTTGGCTGACATCTATGAGAGGCAAAATTAAAAAATGTTTCCCATTCACCATTACTCTGCTGGTGAAGACACGACCTGACATTTATAGTAAAGGACAGACAATCTTGTTGCTGAAAGAAAAAGCAGCTGGGAATGATATGTTAAATCAGCTTGTGCCAAGATGTGCTTTGGCATTAATTAATTCATTAATTAATATTATCTTCTCAAACCCCGAAATAAACCTCTTTAAAACAAAAAAGGAAACAGAGTCTATACTGCAGATGCTGCACTGCGGGAAATGAGGATGTTCATGGACCGTCAACCGCAGCTTTCTGTCGAAAAAACACATTCCTGGTCTAGTAATTTCTTCCTCAAAATTACCCATTATAATTCTGAGAGGGTTTGAATAAATGAATGAATAAAATAATAAATGAAAAAATTAATAAATGTTCATATAACAAGAGAACATCCTTACTGAGCCAGAGAAGCACACAATAGGCAAGACCTTTATTATACTGCATATCAGCATAGAATAGTCTTTCAATACTGTAGCGTTTATAAACAGTCAACAACTTAAAGTCCTATTTTTATTCATTTTGAAACAGTTTGAGGCTGCTCTAATGCTCTACTGTTTTGCGATTGATTGAAATTACTAATGCATCTCAGGTTATTATTTCCTGTTGTCATTTGTTCATTTTGATATTTCGCTTTGGGTCAAACTGTTGTTCTCAAATGTGCTACACAAATGAATAATGATTTCATTGCTTGGCCTGCTCTATAATTGTGGTAAGAGTGGCCTCTAATGGTGATGTTACAGTATAGCAGCTCTAAATGAAACACTAATGCACTTATGTGCTACATAAAAACATTACTGTACTACCAGCCACAGTTCAAAAACTACTATTCTCAATAATCAAAACCTGATGAACCTTTATCAAATGTAGCACTAACTAACAATTCAGTGACTATTCAGTCAATTACTTAATTGAGAATCCAACATAGGCCTACATAAAACAAAATATGAAATCAAACTTTTGTCTCAAAATCGTGTTACTCAAAAATAGATAAAGCTCTTATAACAACTTCTTCATGTGACAGTCTAAGAACTCATAACGTGAGCTGTTGCTTTCAGAAGAGATTAAATAAGAGATTAAGCATCGGACTGCGAGTTTCAAGGCACTTCAACACACACACACTGTGTAGAGAATGAAGAGAAGAAAAAGGGAAGTGAAGGTGTAGTTCGAGAGAACCTTTGATTATTTAGCATCGCCCCAGCCTAAGGAGTTAGACATTTTTTTGTACGTGATGGCCATACAAAAAAATAGGGTTGTCCGTGGTTTAAAATGTGTTGTTGTGGGTGATAGGGATGGCCTGGATGAGTGTGAGATGCCTGAATTTGTATCCCAGTCCAGCCCAGGGTCTATGAATGCACTTTTGGCTTCACGCGCATCAATGCAATTGATAATAAAAGACAACAAAAGTATTTTGATTAGGATAAAAAAAAAAAAAGACTCTTGGATGAATGTGTAGTGGAAGAACACTTGTGCATTGTTATATTTGATGAATAAAAAACACTTCATGTTTATTTTAATAAAGCTAGTTATCTGGAAATAATGATTTCCTTTCAAACATTGTTATTTCACTGATCACGTACCTGTCAAGACTCATAGCGGTCATGACTGCAGCGCACGCCACCTGGTTGCAGTTATCAAGAGAGGTGATGATCGTGCAGAGGGTGCTGCCGAACACCCAGTGTCCCCCACGAGCCCACTGGTGAATGAGGAACGGCATGACGGTCACGTGGACCAGGTCGGCCACAGCCAAGTTTCCCATATATACATCTGGTACTGTTTTTTTGGCTGACCTACAAAAATATACAAGAAAGAACTTGTGGTGATCTGTGGTCCCTTGGTGAGAAACTGCTAAAGAAACAACCAGGAAATGTGAGGGAAACATGACAAGTTGCAAGCAGCAATAAACAGGGTTATATAACCTTCAGTGAGTGACAGGAGTCTGAGGATGGGTCATGGCTATTTCCTGAGAGAATCCATCTATCAAAACAGTGAGAATTATCTGAGGAATTCCTCTAGCAAATCAGAATCGAGCATTCAGGCAGACCATGGTATAATAAAGATGATGTTTTTTTGTGAATTAAATCAATGAAACAATTTCATTGATCTAATGTAAAAGAACTGTGGCAAACAAAATGTAACATTTCTTTAATCAGATATTGTGCAAATGAAAAATAAATATTTTTATTTTATTTAAATCAAATGAAATGATCTATTCTTGCCATATAAAATTAATTGCATGAAAAATGATCCAGATGTTAAATGTATATAGTGGCACATTCCCATTTAGAGCTTATTTTAATAAAGCTATATGCAATTATTAAAGCTAACAAATCCAATCCTTTCAATAATGATTTTTTAAAAACCTCTAAATTCTTAAGCCTTCATAAACATGCTTTAGTATTCGTTATGATCACATTACTTTTTATTCCCTAAGGAATTTGGCATATTTATTTACTAATTACCTTTACACGGGCATTCATATATGTAGAAAGAGAAAACCATAGGCTATACACCAAGGTTATTGTGAAATTATGCCTGCAGAATTTCAGGAAAGTGGTTATGTACCCTATGCCATAGGCAATAACGTATTTAACACGCCATGAAATAAATGTAGTAAATTGTATTTTGGATCATTTTTTAACCAAAAAACAAAAAGCTACGGACTGCAGCTTTAAAATATATAAACAAATGCAAAATAACTTAATTAAAAACAGAAGCAAAACAGCGAGGCTTCCCTATCAACCTGTAAACCCACCTTAAAATAGTGAACAAAACAAGAACATTTCCAACAAGCCCGGTGGAGCACAGAAATCCAATAAATGCAGGAAGGATTTTGGTTTCCGTGACGTGAACAATATTATAATAGTCATCGGCTGGATATCCTGCGGATGTCTCATTAGCTCGCGTGCCGTTGTCTAATTTGAGCGTAAAGTTCCAAACAACTGGTTCCAACTCCACCATGGCGTTCATCATTCGCGTTTCATTCTGATCGACGAGAATATGCTGAAATACGGTAACATCAACCGTACAGTAGTTGTACGTCCATGGAAGGTCCTCGTGGGCTTCAGCATCCTCATCATATCCAGTCTTAGCCTACCAGACGATGCGCATGCATGGTGTCTCCACTCGTACCAGCGCGCGCGCACGCAGACACCTTGTGAACATCAAAGGGAAACATATCAAACGACATTCGAAAGATATCATTTATGTTTTACATTTTTAATCAATTCAAATTTGCTCATATTGCATTTGATCATTTCATACATTCCCTGACAATTCTGGTAATTCTGCAATTATGTTTGAACTACAAAAAAAAACAAAAAAAAATCATAGCCTACCATCTATGAAAAATGAGCTCATACCACAGTAAAATCACTCTTTTGCACGAAAAAAAAAAAAACTATTTAACCATATTCCTTTGCATGGTTCTACCTATTTAAATTAAAGAGCAATAATGAAATGGCAAAATGTAACAATTTTTGGATTAGAAGATTCCTTATTAGGAAAATCAGCTGTCATCCAAAAGCTTTTTTTCAAATGGAAATTAAATCATCATTCTCTTTAATATATAGACTGGCATTAATAAGTTTCTGTTACCTAACAAGTGGAAAGTGCTTCACTTTAAAATTCTACATAATTACTATCCCTGTAACTCTCTTCTTTCTTAAATTAGACATCTCTTCACAGTGCACATCCTGTAACTCTAATCTTGAAATAATACCACATTTGTTCTTTCGATTTGATTATGCAAAGGAGTTCTGGAAAGAAGTAGCCTGGCTTATTTTCTCTGCTTATAACAAACTTTTTATTTTTACTATTAAATGTACAGTTTTTTATTTGGGACTCCATGTCAAAAGAGATGGATGACAGATTAAAACTGCTAACTCTAGAGTCTATATGGCCAGTTTCATCTCCATAAATGTCAAGTCACTGATTCTAAGCCCAATTTTAGGCTTTTTTGTGTTGATTTAAAGTTATTTTATGACTCTCTTTGTTTCTCAGCAAACAAGAAAGCCACTAAAAATGCTCTGTTGTTTAAAAAAAATGGTTTCATTACAAGTTACCTCCTGGTTTTCTGAAGATGACCATTTTTTTATTCTTTTTTTTTCTTTCCCATGTTATTTATTTCTATTTATTTTTATTAATGTACTGTATGCTTAACTTCTATTGCTTTAAATGTTTTATAAATATTTTTTTAGTAGACTATCTCTTACTTCCTTGCTTTATACCTTGAGTTTCTTATCCTATTATTTGTGTGTGATACATGTATCCCCTATAATCTTTGTTCAAGAAAAATTACAAAAAATTAAAAACCTTGGTTATTGTATGGTGCGACATTAGTGCGCCATAAACTATGCATACAGTGAAGCTCTGAAAGAGGCAACAACTCTCCTCTAACAAGATATGCATCTTTTACCATTTTAACATTTGCTTTGAAAAATAAGTATTCTATTATATAATGAAGAAATAACTGCGCCTGCCTATAGATCATATGAAATGACAGGCAGAGTCAGAAATCTTATTTTGAGAATATTAAAAAAATGAATCAAAGCCTTTTATATTAGAATCCTTAGAGGGATTCCTTATTTATTTAGATTTCTTTTAACGTTTATCTGCAATCATTTAACATTCATCCCATGCAAATCCCATGGGAATGATGTAGCCTACAGCTAAAGAATGCAGCCTTGTATTATAATTAAATTATGATGCATCAGAAATCCACAATTCTATACTCCCAAAGGAGCAGTATGTTCCAGCAGCACAGATCTCAGCACTTGGTAAAAATGTGCAACAAATTGCAGAAGTGAGATATAGTGTTACATGTCAGTTTGCTTTTGGACTCCATTTTGTGTTTCTTTTGTTGTTTCCCGCCACTCCTTTGTTTCCATGGTCATCGTCATTATTAGTTCTTTTGGTTCAGCTGTGTCTTCAGCTGTGTCTTGTTAATCAGTTTAAGTTCCTCCCTGTCACGTATATATTCCCTGTGATCTCCCTCTGTCTTCGTCGGTTCTCGTTTGTATTTGGTTTGAGTTGTGTTGTTCTCTGCTATTTCTCCAAGTAATTAGTAAATATTTGTTCCAAGACATTCTCCTTCGTCGTGCGCTTTCCTTACCTCACCAAAACCGTAACATGTAGTCCCAGTGAAGGTAAACGCAGTGAAATAATCTGAAATAACCTTTATTAAACACTCAATGATACATTTTGCATGGGTTTTTACAAAATAAAAGTGTATATCTGTATTATCTGGCCAATCTGCAGTGGTGTATAACAAGGGGAGTGTTTACATTGATGACAGGAAATGAGTAAAAATGACAATGTACTCTGTTTGGAGAAGAAAGCCAGTTTTACTGCAGTCATGTAATGGTAAGATCAGCAGGTACAGAGACTTCTATTTGACCTTCCAAATAGGGCTGGACACGGGCAAAGAGTGAGAGCTTCACTGTGCAGTAGATAGATTTAGATAAACAAAATATACTGTTGTTGTCAGATTTAATGGCTAATTTGACAAATGTTATCAAAGCGTAATCTTGGCAAACATTTCATACAGAACTTGATATGAAATGTTTTTGTATGAGTATTAAAGAAAGCTGTCGCTGAGTGAAATGACCTGCTTTAACCCTCTGGGGTTCTTCGGGTCAAAAATGACCCGAAGCGTTTAAATAAAATGTTAAAAATCGTAGCTTCATCGGAATGGTCCAAAACTTGGTGACTTTTTTGGTACTTGGTATATGAACACCCAAAAAAATTGGGGAAAGGATTTTAAAAGTCTAAGTGGTCGTAAAAAAAAATAGTCACACTCAGGGTCTTCGGGTCAAAAATGACCCCCATAGGAAATGAATGGGAAATTGGCAAAAATGTGAAAATACAGAGTTTTTTTGTGCATACAATCTACAAAACAGCCAGGATGCAGAAAAAAAGCACACAACAGTGAAGGGGTGAATCTCTTAAAACAATGGGTGACAAAATGTTTTCCATTTGTTCTCTTTATAATGCAATGTTCAGGTTTGACTGTATTATAAAGTAAAACTGCCACTTAAAGGGATACTCCACTTTTTTGGGAAATAGGCTCATTTTACAACTCCCCCAGAGTTAAACTGTTGAGTTTTACCGTTTTTGAACCCATTCAGCCGATCTCCGGTTCTGGCGGTACCACTTTTAGCATAGCTTAGCATCCATCATTGAAGTGGACAAGACCATTAGCATTTCTCAAAAAAAAAATGACCAAAGAGTTTCGATATTTTTCCTATTTAAAACTTGACTCTTCTGTATTTACATTGTGCACTAAGACCGACAGAAAATGTAAAGTTGCGATTTTCTAGGCTGATATGGCTAGGAATACTCTCATTCCTGCGTAATAATCAAGAAACTTCACTGCCGTACCATGAGAGCAGCAGGCGTAATGATATGACGCAGCGCCTGAAAATAGTTCCGTTGTGTTGACGGAAGGTGGCCTATTTTCAGGCGCTGCGTCATATCATTACGCCTGCTGCACTCATGGTACGGCAGTGAAGTTTCTTGATTATTACGCAGGAATGAGAGTATAGTTCCTAGCCATATCAGCCTAGAAAATCGCAACTTTACATTTTCCGTCGGTCTTAGTCCACGATGTAACTACAGAAGAGTCGAGTTTTAAATAGGAAAAATATCGAAACTCTTTGGTCATTTTTTTTTTAGAAATGCTAATGGTCTTGTACACTTCAATGATGTATGCTAAGCTATGCTAAAAGTGGTACCGCCAGAACCGGAGATCAGCTGAATGGATTCAAAAACGGTAAAACTCAACAGTTTAACTCTGGGGGAGTTGTAAAATGAGCCTATTTCCCAAAAAAGTGGAGTATCCCTTTAAAATTACCATTTAAACCAACCCAAATTTTTTTTTTTTTTTTTTTATTAAAAAAAATGACAAATATAGTCTTTGAGAATCTGTTATTATATATTCAAATCAAAAACCTGAAAAAATTAAACAATATGTGAAAAAATCACTAGAGTGTTTCTACCATAGGTTTCTACAGAGAGCTGTAAATCCACTAGTGGTAAAAATGTGCTATTGCGTGATAAAAATGCTCAGTGTGTCCACCAGATGGCTCCGATCTCATTTCAAAAATTGCTTTCATGAGGTCTAGACTTGACTCTAAAATGAAATACAGCTTTAATCATTTTATTTTTTAAATTATATATATATATACATTTTCTATTATATTCAATGGGAAAAAATGGGTCTTAATTATTGCATAAATATTAATTATAAAATTATCTCAAAACACCAAAAAAGAAAAGAAAAAATATTATTGAACAAAAATATATTTCATTGATTTTACTCAAATAAAATGTATCTTAATGCCGCCCTCCGGGTCATTTTTGACCCGAAGGTCCTGAGTGTGAGTCTAAAATGAGGAACCCCAGAGGGTTAAAGGTACTTTGTTCAGTAACTTTGTTTTCACACACAGAAAAACACCAAAATCAACACAACACAGAAAAGGCAATATAAACACACTCCCCCTACAGCTTAGCATTTAATACCATGTAACAAAACATACCTCGCATCAGCTTGTATTATTAATGTGTCCGATTCAAATGTAAACAACCTTGTTCCAAAATCTATGATCCATTAGGAAGGCTTCAAATTAAGGCTGACTATAAAAACTTAAAACTATACACTATGTATGTCACGGTGAGACACGGAGATGAACCCAAACGCAGACAGTATAAAATAAGACACGGTTTAATGACAACAAAACAGAAAGTAAAACCCACGAGGGGGCAAAACAGATGGAACACAGAATACCACACTGACTAGACTAAACTGGGAAACAACTGAACAAGAAAACAAACAAGACTTCAAGCGATGCTAACAATGACTAGATGTACACAGGGTACTCACGATCAACGTATATCAATGAACCGACACAAGACAGCAAACACAAGGGGATTAAATAGGAAGACTAATCAAACATAACAGGTGACACGGGTGAAACACTAATGACAGAATCAGGATAACAAGGGGGCGGGGTAACGAGACCAGACAACACAAGCACATGACCAAAACACAAGGCCATGTGTTTGCACACAGA